GATATTTCACCCAAACAATACAGTGTTTTTCAAAATTTAAGGCTATAATAAAATCTTAATTTTTCATAAAGATTATATTTATTTAGCTTGCTAGGCTCTGAGATAAAAATATCTTTAACATTTTTATATTAGCAAAACGCTTTTAAATAAAGTAACTTATGATTTTATCTAAAGTATCAATGAAAGTTGTATAAATTTTTAATAATGTTATTTAATTATAATTTTTTATAATATTTAATATTTATTCATAAACGCAGTCACTTACAAAAAACTTACTAAAGTACTGATGATTTATATATGTTTTTGTAAAACTTAATAAACATTTTTAAAAATTTCAAAACAAAATTCAGTTCTACAAAAAAAACTTAATAGAGAAATAAAGTTTGAAAATAAAAGTTATGAAACTTTTTTATTTTATTGTTATAAGCTTGTAGTAGTTAGAGAATGCCGGTTCTAGCTCATTTTCATTTTTAACCATATTTTCAACCATATATTAATATTAATATATGGTTCAATGTTAACCATATTGTATATAAATTATTTCGATAAGAAATAAATTTTCAATTTTTTAAAAAATTGAAAATTGAATTTTTTAAAATAAGTGTTAATTTTTATTTCTTGTCGAAAAAATGACGTCACAGGTCACGTGATTTTCTTGCTTCTTATTTTTCTTTATATTCTATAGAATGTAAATATTTTAATACTTCAAAGCTTCTTCTATTTATCACAGCATATTTAACTGTATTTTCAGTTCATTTATATCCTATTGAATGTAAATATTTGAGTGCTTTACAATTTCCACTTATTTCAGCAAAATCAAGTGTATCTCTTGTACCTTTATAACCTTTTGAATGTAAATATTTGAGTACATTTGGTTTTCCATTTAATGCAGCATAATCAAATGCATAACTTGTTCCTATATATCCTAATTTATGTAAATATTTGAGTGCAATATGATTTCTATCTCTTACAGCTAAATCAACTGAATCTCCTGAACATTTATAACCTTTTGAATGTAAATATTTAATTTTTTCTTTATCATCTTCTTTTTGCATTTTGTTTTCCATTCTTTTTATATATGCAAGAAAATTATTTAATTCATTTTTCTTGTTTTAATGCGCATGCGCTAAGATTTACTTAAGCATAGTAGTAGAATTGTCTTAACAATATTATATAGAGTCTCTTATAGCATATAATTCTAGTTCTGTTGCTACAAATGGAAGAGTACTATTTTGTATATAATTATCAAATATAGGCATAGCAGGTTGTCCATTATATACATAGTTCATATTTTGACATACAGGTGCCTAATAACCACCACTTGTATCTAGTGTAAGTACTGCTCCAGAATTCATCAAGCTTTTTGTAGTTGTCAAATTTAAACCGCAAAATCCTTGTCCTAATTCTGTACATCCAAATGGTGTATCTGTTGATATGAGTTGTGCAACATTTTGATAAGCCATAGACATCATTGGAAGGAATGCTTGTTTAAATATAATACTATTCCATACACCATTAATTTTATATTTAAGTCTATATTTATAATAGCCATCATTGTTTTTATACTGCCAATTAGTAAATAATGAACTATATAATTGAGCAGTAGATGGAGTAGAATTAAATACTCTATAGGCACTATAATAATTGTTAAGAAATAAATATCCAGCAACTTGTCTAACTAATAATACTTCTCCAGAAATATATGGTGTTCCATAACCACCACCATATATATTATTCATTGCAATTGGTATTGCTTCAAAAAATTTGTTTGCTAAAAGAATTTGTTGTCTTGAATCATAATGTACTCCATCGAAATTTGCACTCCTAAGACTGGGAGGCATACCATCTAGAGATATACTAGCTGTATATGGAGAATAATTTATAATATTTCCTAATGCATTTTGAACTTGAGTTGCTGTAGTTGAGTTTGCTTGAACCCATGAAGATAGCATTTGAAATGTAATGAATAGCATTTTATTTGCTTTTATTTGTGAGTTTGGCAATGTATCAAATTGGTTTGATGAGTATGCAATATAATCTCTAATGGTTTGTATAAAATTCATTAGAATATATGCATAGTTATCACACCAACCAGTTATAGAATCGTCTTCTCCTTGACTCCAAGTCATACAGCAAAACTCTGCGTTATAATGTGATGAAATGTAATTAATTCTACGAGTTAAATCTTTAAAACCAGTTCCATACGGTATAAAATAATCATTACTGAAACTTTTAGCAGTTAGCATGCATGGAAGTATCATTAAAAATTCATCTGGATTTATCATATTTAATGTATTTGCACCTACAGCATCTTGCATTATAAGTCCAGCAAGTATTGAACCATATCCTGCCCAACATTTATTATCTGTTTCATTTACATCTAGCCTCAATGAACAAGGAAGTAACACATCATTTTGTCCATTATCCATTGCAAATTGGACTATTCGTCTGTTCATATAATTTACATTAGTTATTGATTGAGATAAACCCCATTCTCTACCAGCATATGTATTTGATTGACCAGCAATAATCAAAACTTTATATTTATGTTGATAAGGAATTAAGCGATCTACATAATTCTTTGTAGCTGTATCCTGTGCATTAGTAGGATCAACTACATTAATCAATTTATGTGAATTCAAATTTATATTAGCATTCATACTATTAGTTCCATCTATTTTTAGATAGGAACTGCTAGAAATCTGATTATTATCTACATAATGCTTTGTAGCTGCATCCTGTGCATTAGTAGGATTAGCTACGTTGATCAGTTTATGTGAATTCAAATTAATATTTGCATTCATACTATTAGTTCCATCTAGTCTTAGACATGCACTGCTAGAAGTTTGATTATTATCTACATAATTCTTTGTAGCTGCATCTTGTGCATCTGTAGGATCAGCTACATTGATTAATTTATGTGAATTTAAATCAACATCAGTAGTGGCTGTATTGCCAACATTAATGTTGATATTTAATCCATCTGTTGTGTAACCATATAATGAATTACTACCGGCTATATTCATACTCATTTTTTATATACTATACATATTTTTTTTAATTCAATATAATGAATTTTCAATACTTTGAAAATCAACACCTTCATCAAGCTTTTTTAATACATAAAGGCACAAGTGTCCGCAAAAAGAAGTGTCTCCAAACTGAATTCTTTTACTATTATAATAAACAAGACTGTGTAAATATTGAACAAGTTCAACTGGAGGTGGTAGTGCATAAGAGTCAAAACTTAATTTTTCTTCTCCATCTTTATACCAGCAAATCCAATGAAATCCATTTGTACTTGAATCTCCAGTATTTAATATTCCACATTCTTTGTTTTGTGTATTTTTAGGTAATTCATCTCTTACAAATACACCTCTAAAATTTTTAATTTTTAATTTTTTTGCTGCTTTTATTAATTGAAAGTTTGTTAAGGGTACATTTGGCAATATAATTCCTTCAACATTGATATGTTTGTCCATTTTTATTACTTTATTAGATTTTTTTAGATCTCTTTAGATATAAAAAATAACTTACCTGTGTGTTGCCTGCCTGCTTGCCTGTTTATTTAAGTTTATAATGTCCATATGCTAATGTGTGAATACCATCTTCTTGAATTACTCTTTTATCATCTTCTGCACTCAATGCTATTTTGTTAATTTCTTCTGTATAAACATCATGTAAATGAGATCTTATGACATTCATTTTTCTCATCTGATCTCTCCTGCTAAGCCGGCAGTCTTTATAATCTTCATGTGTAATATAATTTTTTACTACATTTCTTTTTACTCCTTTACATCTCTTTTTATCTTCTTCATCTATTTTGTAAGAATACAACTTTGATCTGAGTCCAATAAATTCTGTAATTTGTTTTCCTGCTGACTCATCTTTAAACATTCCTATTACTTTCTTATTTACACCTACTTTAAATCCATTTTGAACAGCTGGATGATCTTTATTAAATTCACTTGTATCAAATTTACTTTCAATATCATTTGCAATATCTGCATAAAAGTATTTTGTTTTTATTTCATAGATTAATGAATCTGTATCTGTATATAATAGTTTAGCTTTATCTTTATATTTATTTTTTATGTAATCATAATGAAACTCATACATTAAAGTCTTGCTCAAATCTAAAATACACATGCCTAAATAAATAGGCTTATTATATACAAGTTTTGTTCTTTTCATATGTATTGCAATTAAATTTTCATCAAATATTGTTCTACTTTCATAATTTGGTTTTGATGCTAATTTAATAGCTTCTTCTCTTTTTGTAACTAATCTCACATCAACTCTGTTTTCAATGTTCTCCATTGTCTTTCCAAATACTGAATTGTTCATAAGTTTGAAAAAGTCTTTTTCAAAATCATTTGTTGCTTTTGTTCTTAGATCTGTATTGAGATTAATGTACTTACTTAGCCATGCACTTTCTTCAAACTTTATTCCTCTATGAATTTTAGTTAATTTCATTCCTAATCTTTCATACAGTTTTAAGTTTTCATAGTGAATGATATAATTTTTCTTATGATTTAGATTAGTTACTAATTTTTCAACTTTGTCTATTTTTAATCTTTCAGGAGCAAGTGGATAATCATAATGCAAATCATGTAAATGATCAGTATATTCTAAATCTACTTCTAATATACAAGAAATGGATTTCCAATTTTTTATTTCTTCTTCATTCATCCATTTAAACCCATGTGTTGGAAGGGGCTTACTCATTGCCCACCCAT